TTGATGAGAAGGCTGTTCCGCAAACCGACATTCTTCCGGTGAAAGCATCATTTTGAAAGACTTAGAATAGGTTTTTGAACTACATTAGATACGAGGTTTTAGGAAGTTGCCCAGCCAGAAAATGGCGGTGAGGAGTCTGACATTAGTAGCCAGGTTCCAACCACGGCGCGCGAGAGTGAGGCAGTCGGTTCCAGCGAGGCCACGACACTTTTTTGTGGATTGGAAGGCGTAAGTTCCATCGTGTTCAACGTATATCCAAGGTGTATCGGTTTTTTCTAAGTGGTTAGAGCCAGCTTTGTTCAAAATGTTGACTATCAACTAGCGCTTTCTTGATGTGATAATACCGAAAAATAGGTGGATACGGTTGATGTTGTTGAAAGCTGATTTTTCACTGCTTCAAACGTCCTTGGCTGCCACCGCGGATTTATTCTTTCACTATGGAGCTAATAATGGCTCTCAAGTGCTCATTCATCCAGTTCACTATCATCTAGAGGGAACTTTTGTGAGAAGGGGTTTGACCTTTGGAGATGTTTGCCCACTTTTGTTGTTTTTTGTTTCAACTAGTTATTAAACTGTAATCTGTTTTGAGTTCAGGACTTTTCTTATACTCACTGCAGTATCACATTTTTGGTTTCTAACGTTAGGAACTAACTATAACTAACGAAATTTCCAGGCTGTTAAAAGCTGTGAATTTACAATTAGCGTACCGATGCATCTAGGGTCTAGTTTTCAACACTTTTTTTCTCGTGTAGGAAAGGAAATTTTTATTGATTACTTGAATCCCGTTGTACAATTTAGTGTTCGCAATACTTCATCGATTCGGAAAAACTGTGCAGGCATTTGCAAATGGCCCACAGTCTTCCTACATATGTAGTGACAATAGATCTCACGACAAAGATGGAGTACTTGGTGCGTTCTTAGGAAAACTCGTCATTTCATTGTTATCATCATGTTTAGGAATATGAGTTTAAACAAATTCTAACTAGTTTTGAGGATGTAGAATGCTTTTTACACAGATCTCCAATTGTGTAATTCTGTAAAGATCGATGGTATTCCTTAGCAGCAGTGTTTTGATTTACGTTTTTATACTTGGTCAGTACTGGGGCCACTATTTTAAATTTAACAGGGCTTCCGTAATGAATATTTGAGCAATGAGTTCTTTCACAAAATCGACGTTGATGGAAATTACACTGTGTATACGTGTCAGCGGTTGTTGCCTGGTGGAAAGACGACTGCTCTGAGATTGGTTGAAGCAACAAGAGTAAGATTTTCTGTTAGATAAAGTTCATATTCGCAGATTCTGTACACAGTTAATAACTAAACTAATAAATAAATAAATAACAAAATGTTTCAACAAAGTGTTGAAAAGGACAAGGGATAAAGCCCTTGACGTTGATCAGTCTCTGAAGGATGCGCCATGCATTCGACTTCATTAAGTATCGTACGAGGTGATTGAATGGATATCTGGTCTTCACAATGACTCGCAATGGCCTACCGATGTATCGAGCTAGTGCTGCGCTATCCTTCCAGACAAGTATGGTACCAATTTGTCGACCGCGGAGAGATGGAAGGCTTGGTGGGGCAATGGGCATAGGAATCGTTTCCACGTGTGTGTTGTAGGGCGCTTCTGACCACTGCGTCACACGGCCACACACCTCTTCACAACATCTTAGAAGCTGTAAATTTCCAAGCGCTGTCACCTCCACTTCGTAGTAAAAGGTAATGCTGATTGAATGAGTAGGCCTATTTACTGAACTCCCAACTTCATAGCATAATGTTGGGATCATGAGGCTTGTGTCTTTGAACGATGAGTTCGAAGTACTTTCACGCATCACTTTATAGTGATATTGCCCTTAATATTGGTTAATATTGTTGTGTGATATTCTCCACATCATCGACAAATCCAGGAGAATCAGTGGTCATGGTAGCTCAAATCCCACTTTTTCAGTCGCCTCGCGGTGCTAGATATAAACGTCAACGGTGAAGAGACAAGTTGATTTATGTATCCACAGAATTATAATTTCATCGTAATTGTATAATTAAACTTAAATCTTCTTACCAAAGGTGCGAGGTTTCCAATGACTTCAATTTCAATAAATAACGTTCGCTTTAGCTAAGGTGGCTGTTTACTATTGAAAAGCCAAATTCCTTTCGCTTGCATTGTTCATGTAATATACGTCGCGAACGGCTTGGTCTAACCTTGAACACAGTCTTAATTCTTGTAGTTTTTTTTTTCAGTGCTACACTGTTTTATTACAGTAGGGATCGATTTCAGGGCGAAGTATCATCATTGTATGATCAAGATTACAAATGCCCTATGGAATTGCAACCACGTCGTGGTCCATTTGTCAGACAAGGCGGCTTCTGTCCAGCTTTCGTCATGGTTAAGCGCGATGGGGAAAGGTCAGTGGTTCTAATTTTACAATGAGTTTAGATTTCGAGTATAAATTTTAGAAGTAAAGAACGAACAGTATGTATATGTAGTGTGAGGTATCATATAAGGAAAGCAGAAATTAAAAGGGAGGTAAATGTTGGGCACTCTTGCTAGAATATCAGGATTTTCAAAGAGTTAACTTTATCTGTTTTAATATGCTGGTATGAATATGAATTAGCATCAATAATGAGTTTCGAATTGCTGTGGCTGTAAGACAATTCATGTTACAACAGAGTTTGTAAACTGTCAAGTGTATACTTTCTGTTGAACTTCTAACTGTTGTGACTAGTCGCTAAAGTAAGTTGTTATATGGCTAATGGAAATAACTAGAGTTAATCACCACCTAGAATGTTAGTTATGCCGTCATCGCATATCTTCCGTGACTCAGTACTTCTTCTATTCGTGTTGTCTCGCCACCGTTATCCGTAGGAATAGTCGGATTTATTTCTGGATTCAGCAGTGAAATGAGTATCTATTATCACTCACTGGCAAGGTGGATGCTGTTCGAACATGGTTTTCTGTGGAATTCAGGGGTTTCTGCATAGGATATTATGGATCGGAAAGAGTGCCGCTGTTTTATTGCTCGGATTTTTTCAAGATTCAAAACCTAAGAGCTTTGTTCTACTTTTTCTGATTGGTCATGTTATCATAAACAAGGGTTACCAGCGAAAACTTTTGAGTTATAGAATTCTTAAGGTTTATTTTGACTGTCATTGTTGAGCTTTCTATTACTAACAAAATACTTTTCGCGCACGAAGATTCTTTATTCAAAATTTTATTGGGAGACTGCGAGAAGTTGGTGCATATTTTGGAGACAAAGTTAAGGCGTTCAGCGTTAACTACGTACGCAGGGGTGTGTGGTGCATGGGAGTATTTAATCAAGCACGGATGAGGTAATCGAATGCATATCTGGCTTATACAACGACTTGTAGTGGCCTGCTGATTTATCAAGTCGGTGTTTCAGTGCTCCATATAAGACTTCTAGCAATTTGCAGACAGAGAGATGGTAGAGATGGAAGCCTTGTCAGTTCTGGTCGATCGAAGCAACGACCGACAAAGACGAGTTCGAAGCGTTTTGTGTCGATTTGGGAAAAATTCTGTGGAAAAGATCATATTTTATACGTCACCAGAAATTTTGACATCAAGGTGGAATGCGAAAAAAAGTCTGGTGAACTTGAGATGAAAACCGCTTAGTTAGAATGGAATGAGCAGCATGAGAGAATATCTGAGTTGATCTTTATGACATAAATCGTCGTAGCTCACCAATCCGAAAATGGTTAGTGGTGGGTGGACGTAGGAGCCTCCCATGTGTTTTCCCAGCACCGAAATCGAATTTATTGCATATCCGATGTTGCTGTTCAGAGGTTTCACACTGGATCGGGTTATCTTTTCTTTCGGATAAGGTTGCATTCTTCGAAAACAGTGAAAACGAAAAATTGACGGTATGCGATCACAAGTTCGTTGTAAATTGTGACTTGTTCGAGTCATCACTCGGCTTTTAGGAAAACAGTTTGCCAACAATATTGATGAAAATATGTACGAATATCGAAAACGAATGGGCGCGTGTAGCGCGGTGTTCCTAGGCGCCCTGCAATACATATCGGATCTATTACCGCGCCCCAAGCCCATGATTGCTAACTTTAGATACACTTTATCTGATCTCTTGTATAGTATACTGAGACGAATACATTAACAAAACAGGTAAACCAATCTGCGTCCATATTAAATGACATCTAGTCGGTAAAAAGTTAAGCCAAATACTCCACTAGGTACGCATAGTACTCAGGGATATAACGGGTAATGTTTTGAAGTAGAAGATAACATTCTCGCACGGGAATCGAAAACACCGGCGCAAAACACTCGAGGAATTCTGGATATATTTCAGGAATCCAAAAATGAACTACATGGGGGGATGCATTGTGTTATCAGACAGTGTTTAAGACCAGTTTTAATGTGAGGGGCTCACTATGCTTCCATGTGAACTCTGTGTTGATCAACACGTGACGCAATGGAAGACCCATGGAAAGTGGTTAGTGTGCGAAGAGGTTATTCTGTGTTCAGTGTGATTGAAATCTTGGTTTAACATCTTCTCTGTTTGGTTATGTAAGCGCTTGGTGGGTAAATTGCAGTCAACTTGACCTTTCCAGATTCTGAGAGAGACAATATCCGCAGGAAGGTCAGCTTCATAATAATGGCGAATAAAATAGCACCTTGTGTTTCAATGTTTTTCATCAATAAGCAGACACGAGGTTGTTAATATAGAATTTATTAGAACACAATTGCTGACGTTTCGG